CGTTTCGGCCATTGTACGCTCCGGCCTTCTTCAGGTGGTTGGAATGTTGAACTGAACCCTTTATTTTGCTCACTGGGGTAGACTGTTCAAGTTCCACGTGCCATGTTTGTCCTCAAGGACACATGGCACAGTGGATAAAGGCATTAGTTAGATCCAGTGACAGGACCCAAAGAGTGTGAGTTCAATAACTGGTTAAGGCAGTGGAGAACTTTCAGAGGGAAATTAGCAGGAGATAACTGATAACTGACATCCATCAAACATGGCACGTGGAACTAGAACAGTCTACCCCAGTGAGCAAAATAAAGGGTTCATTTCGAAATTCCAGCCACCTGAAAAAGGCCGGAGCGTACAATGGCCGAAACGTTGTGATAAATATGGCGACAAAGATGAGGACAATAGTCCGAATAATGTAAATAATGTACATAATACCTCATCTCAGAAATATAGACAGACTCTAAATTAAGCAAATATGAAAAGAACACTGACTTCTTATTTTAACAGAGATATTTAACAAAATTACATAAAACAATATCTTGAAATACTAAAGGGTAAATTTAATTAATAAAATCACCATTGGTTTCAACCATGGCCTCCATACAACTTTCAAATCTCCTGCAACTCTTCTGGATGGTCTCCATGTTTAAGTTGGTGAATGCTTCCATAATCCTTGCCTTCAGTTCATCTTTGGTGTTACAAAGAGTTTTGTTGGTCTCTCGCTCAACTGCATCCCACATATAATAATCAAGGGGTTGCAGTTTGAGAAGTTAGGTGGTCAGATTCAAGGAGTAATGTAATCACAGAAATTGTCTGACATCCATAACTGGGTTCTCCTGCTTTTATGGCATGATACAGAGTCCTGTTTCCAGACATATGGTCTTTCAGTGGCAACTCTCTTGACCCAGAGTAGCACTATCTCCTCAAAGCACTTGATGTAAGTCTCTGTGTGGAATCTGAGGCCCTATAGGAAGATGAATGGAGACATAACATCATAATTACTAGTGATCACTCCAAACACCTTCATAATCACCATTAGACTCATCCAACTCTTTCTGAATTTTCTGCACTCTCCTCATATTGACACCCAAATACTCTGAAATGTTCATACTGGAGCTTCCAGTGTGAATGCCAAGCAATACAATAAAATTTTATGAAATGTAATATGATTTTTCATTCAAGATTTTTGTTTTGCTTCGATATAATGATGAATCTGAAAATGAGACTATGGTAGATATGAGACAGAACCTGGGACGAGCACAACTGGTTGCAACTTGCCTTGTCCCCGCCAAAAAAGAGCCCGTATTTGCTTAGCATGTAAAGCTACTGCAGTTGAAATGAGCGAGAAAAAAAGCACTTACCGCTCTGCCATAATCCATCCTCGGCCAGATAATGTAAAAGAATGAGGGGGGACTTGCATTGCATTTTTATGCAATAAAGATGCAATGCATTATGGGACATGGACGCAATGAATTATGGGATCACATGAAGACGCAAGGGATTATGGGTATATGGACAAATATAAAAGCAACTACTTTTTCCCAGTGGGGAGAGTTCTTCGAGTGACATTCACGGTTGGCGGCTAGAAAGTCTGTTAGTGCGATTTTGAGACAGAACTCAAGAAGGAACGACTCGAGGTTGAAATACCAGTTGGGAGAGCTTGAATTTACTCGCTGGTTGCTGTTTTCTTTATTCGCCACAGAGAAAGACATATATGTTAGATTTAAGCCCAGGGTTATAAATTTTGCAGAAGAAACCAACCTGCTGGTAGAGAATATGATACTGATGAGTCTATGGTGAGGGATCGAGGTGGGAGTAAAAGTAAAGATAGTTTAAAATTGAAATCTAATACACTACATCTAGGTCACTGACAACAGGGAAAGTTAAGTAACCTAACCTTGAAAGGTATATTTCATTGCACCCACATTGCTACCGAATGTGACATAAGGTCAAGGTTTAAAGTGAGTTTACTGGCAATACTGTAGAATAATTGCTCAAGCCCCCTCAGCACTTCTCCTTTTGGAGATGCCTCAAGTGCCAGGTAAAGATCTACCTCCTGAATGAGAGGTATTGCCTGAGGGATGCCCCTCACCCCTGGAGCTTGAGTTAATATTAATCTCAATTTTCCCTTAAAAATCAGGGAAATATAACCTAACCTTGAAAGAATTCTAAATAACGTGAATACTTATTCAAGGGATAAAAAAGCATTCAGTGAGAATGGTGATGATTAGATTGAAAGCTAAAGAGTTTACAAAAGAGATTACTTTTTTTGGTTTACTAATATTCACCAATATAAAGCCCTAGAGTCACTCAATATAGAGGTGTGTAATATGAATGTAAGAGGAAGTGAAGATATAGTGTCTTGGGGCTTTGGAGTTAAAATGAACAGTTGATTTGCCCATGCCAAGAAGATTAATGTAAGATGATAAGGAGGAAACTCACAGGTAATTTTAACAAAACAAGAATTTATTTATGAATTTACATGCTTGAAGTTGTGTCAGTAACTCATTTCAGGAAAAGAAATCAGAAATTTTTAAAGTCTGCAGTTTTAACAAATTGTCCTGAAGAAGAAATGCTCATACAGCATTAATGATCTGACACAAAATAATATTCAAAATATTTAAAACAAAGATAAGAGAGTTTGTTGCTCACAGAAGGGATATACAGTTACATACACTCAAAAGTAGATGAAGAGAGATGGTTTGAAATACTTAGCTTTCTTGGATTGTTAAACAAAAATTCTTTGATGTGTCCTGTGCTTGGTTAAAAGCCGATAATATAATTGGTGAGTAATTTGACACTGGTGAAAAATTCAACTCTTGACATGGTGAACAGAAGCAAAATCTTTCACATTACTTTAAACACTCTTCTCTTTTTAATTTTTCTCCTCATTTTATATCAAAAGGAATTTTGCATAGGCTTGCTACTTTCTTTTTCTTGGTTAATGGCTAATTTTTGTGGAGACAAGGTTTTCATTGGTCCCAAACCATTTTCACATAAGCTTGCAAATTTATTTCCATTTTCTTCTCAGCTTGCCAGTCAATTTCTGTGAAGGCAATGTTTTCACTGGTCCCAAGAAAATTTCATATACGCCTACACATTTCTTTACCTCTTTTTCTTCAGTCCTCCATTTTTGAAGGGAGTGGGTAAAGGGAGTTGTTATTATTTCACACTCACTACAAAGATTACGAGGATATGGAAGATAGACAACGTTTGACCCTAAATTTGAAGAGGTTAAGATTGTAGTATTCAGAGATGCATTCCACACAGTTCTTGGGAAGAAGCTTTCTGAGTGAGACCCTGTTTGGTCTGATTTGTGTAAATATAAAACATGGTAGAAGCTGAAGCTGTATAAGAAGTTGACTAATTTTCCAGCATCTTTAATGATGGATTACATGAGTTCCACATGAGGTCTTGGATTAACTTGAGTCCCAATAAAGCAAAGTTCAAAGCAAAGTACTGATAATCCTTAGTGGGGCTACTGTCTTATGAAAAGAAACAAACTCTCTGCTGGAAACCATAATGGTCAGTAAAGACTTGCCTATCGACTGGGAGGAAAAGACCAAGCGTTTCCATGAATTTGTAGCAAAACAAAAAGGAACAGTCAGTTATATGCCATGTGTGATACACGCTTAGGCAATCATGTATCTTTCGATACTTGACTGACGAGGCAGGTTTTTTCCCCAAAGTAGGTTAACATTTCTTTCTGCAGTAGACCAGTTGCTATCCAAAGCTATAGAACCCAGTTTGTCCTGCTATAGAAGTATGAATCTTCTTCATAATAATACTGTAATAGAGAATACAGCAGTTCAGTGTGGCATTGTAATTGTCTCATTTTGACTTCCTTAGTAAAATTATGAATACAAACGGTTAGTTTTGGTGCCAATTTCCTTCCAAATTGCTTATGATTTACTCTACTTCAAAGAACAAAGAGAGAATTTAAATGTTTTATAAAAGATCTTTTAAATGAAATATTTTAATTTAATTTGTAGAACTTCTTTAAAAATAAATTCATATATTTTACTGATAAGAATAAAGACTTTTATGAAATTTTATTCCAATTTTTCAAACACACTTTTTTAAATAAATTTTTATAGAAATTATGAGATAATAAAGACAAGGAAACTCATCCAAAAGGAAAATTTAAGATAAACAGCAACACTTTTTGTTTAGTTTATTGATTTATATTTTCAGCAATTTTGGATATAAAAATTACATTCAATATTAGATTTCTCAGTGACATTTTTTCATTATGAACGTAGGTAGACGTTTATTTATTTCTATTTAAAAATTTTAAATCTAACTAAAATGCTAAAAAATTATTTTGATAATAATATTCATTCAAATATCTACGAGTTCAGGGCTATTTTCTTAATTTGTTTTCATTGTTTCAATCTAATTTAAAAATTAATTAATAAAAGTAAAGGAATACAAGTGAAATTCAATGACTTCTCTTTCTTAATATCTCATTATAAAATATAAAAGTTTATTTTTTAAATACCCCCCCAAAAAAAAACGATTTGCCAAGTTATCAGTGTGAATTGATGATAAATGTTTGTTTCTGTATCACTGGTTGATAATGTAATTTCATTGTAATTCAATAGATTGCAGTTGCAAGAAGTTTTAGAACTTTTCTTTTTTTGCTCAAATCAATGAAAAAATTCAGAATTACTTTTTTCTTCTACAAATAAAATAGGGCAAGAAAATTACCGTTTTAATTTTAAAGTTACATCAGCAGCCTAAAAAAGTTAAACTTAAAACATTTATTTAACAATATCTCAACTACTGGGAAATAAAAAAAAATCTTTCCTCGTGACCATTTGCTTTGAAACAATTTTAAAGGTGCGGATTATATAACGATATCTGTGTATTAAACATAAATTTTCACTAAGTGCGGATTATCTGAGGGCAAAATACAGCAGCAATAATAATCGGTGCCCCCTGTCATTTATATAGGATTGAATTTGTACGCAGCGCCCTCTGGTGGACCGAAAAAGTATCAAAAAATGGCGTCCCTCGTCCGTTCGTGTTTGTTGCAGGATTCCGGCCTGTTAAAACAGAATATACGGGTATGTTTTGTTTTGAATTATTTATAGTTTAGATGTATTCAATTTTGTCCATCTGTATTATATCTCTGTTTATGTATTTTATTCGCTAATATTAGTTATTGCACCTTTCTTCAACGATTTGTTCATACCGTGTCGGCGAAGAAGGCAGACGACACTTGTTCCTTTTTTTTTCTCTCTTCTCCATTTTTTCTACGCGATGTATTAAATTCCTGATTTATCCTATTTTAACTTTATTTTTCTTGATTTAGTTTAACTCCCATGTTTTATCAATTTTAAATTGATTGACAAAAATTCAGTTGATGTTTCTATGAAGATGTTTTTTCTTCTCAATATTCAACTCCTTCGTTGACGTTCCTACAAGTTTATTATTATTTTTTTTTTTTTTTGAAACTGATGACCAGAATCCATTATTGGTTCAGGTTTTTTTTTTTTTTAACTTTTCTGGAACGACCGACAAAACAATGTTAAATTTTTATTCATCAGATAAAATAAGTGTTGTTGCTTTTTTAAAAAAAATTTCATTTGTATAAGCAATGTTACAATTACAGTTTCATGTGTGAAGCTTTTTAGGTTTGTAATGATGACTTGAATGATCAAAATAAAATTGAAATTTTTTATTTTTTCAAGTATTTTCCTCTGATTTGAACCAAGCTATCGATGTTTTTATTTAAATACTATTATTTTTTTTTATTATTTGTTATGCTTTCCTTTTTCATTCTTGTGTGAGAATCTTTAAAAAAAAACCCCAAAAAACCAAGCACGATGATTGTTTTTTAAGTTTGTCTTTTTTGCAACAATCATTCAAGTTAAATTGCACGTGTCGAGGAGGAGGACAATGCCAATGTATAAGATAAGGATTTTTTTTTAATCTTTAAATAAATATAACCATCATTATGTTAAATGTCTTATTTGTCTAAAAATCTCTAGTTTGCCAGATGTCTTTTTTTTTTCTTTGTACTTGTGAGAAAATTTGGATTGTTAAAAACTTGTCACCTATTTTCTTTCTCTCTGTTACCAAAAAAAAAAAATTTTACTTTTCTTCTGAGGTAACATATTTTAGAACTGAATGCTTTTTGAAGTCACATAGCTTCATGATTTACCTTACTGAAATAGTGTTTTAATGTTTAATCTCGATTAATCTTCTTTACTTGATTCAGTTTTAAAGAAAGTGAACACTATCGCAATATTTTTCCCGTTGTTTAAAGAATTGAGTAGTTTTCATTGGCACAAAACTTGACACCTCTTATTAGTTATTTCTGTTCTTAGATGTTCATTGTTTTGATTTTATTTTATTTACTAACGACATTGCTAAAGTAAACAGATATAATTCATCCTTCATGTCCGTATTTTCTATCTAAATGAAACGGCCTTCAGAAAGTCAAGGTCAACTTTCAGTTGTCCTACCAATCCTCAGGATAGATAGAGGTTAGAAAAACCTAAATGTCCTTTTTACTTTTCCCCGTCTTGTTCCCAAAATAATATCTACCTTGCAGTGCCGGATGTAGATTAGGTCAGATTCTAAACTCTAAAGCTACATAAAACTTGGAAACCTAATGTAAAAAAATTTGCGCTAGAGAATTTTAAAAGCCCCCCCAACAAAATTCTGAAATTATTTTTTTGTCCCTGCGAGGTCCCAAGGTGTATTATGCCTAAATCCGACAATGAGAAACGTCATTTCCTAATTCTCTTTCTTTGCGTTTTTATTTTGATGCCATTTTCCTTTTAAAAAGCATGTATTGTAGTTGTAGAGAGTGTCTGTGATGGTTGAAAAAATAAAAATGTATTTTAATATTATCATCGCTTTTCGGTTTCTGTGTTGAAAATGATCCATAAAAATGATTTCAGTAACGATAATTTTTGTCTGATAGTTTCATTGACTTTAAACTTGGCACTACTTCTCAGTTCTTGGAAAAGTTCTCATTTAAAGTACGTTCTATATTCCACTGAATTTCAGTTTAATTACTATTGGTTTCTCTTTTTTTTCCACTTAAAAATTATTCTTAGTTACACCAGTCGAAATCTGGCTTTTGGTCACCTCATCGTGGCGTCATCAAGCTGAACGATCATTAGTAGTGGATTCGATCCTTACTGGATGACCCATATTGTGGACTGTAGCTAAAAAAAGCTTAGTAATTAACAATCTTAGACTTTTTATTTATTCCACTCAAAATTGGTGTATAGATTGATAAGTTAATTATTTAGCGCTCAGCAGAATTAGTTTATTTACATTTATTTTATTTTTGTTTTTTTTAAATTCAATTGCAAAAATGAAAATCTTAGTTAAAATTTGTAATAATAATCCTCAGTTTCTTGCTGTAAATTTATATATCATTAGTCTTCTTTAAATAATATATTTCAAGAAAAGAGAAAAATCAAATGTAAATATTAAATAATATTCTGAATAGTGTTTTCTGAGATGAAAACGAAAAATATTTTCCTCCTTTTGTTCACACTTTTTTATTTTATAAAAGTTTTTTTATTTAATGTTGCTCCAAATTAAATACATCATTTTTTTTATTTCCCTGTAAGATAACAGATGATGATTTTTTTGTTATTCTTAAAAAAATTAATATTTGTTTTAGTTACACATATTTTCGTAATATTAAAAAAAAAAAATGCACACAAATTTCATTGTAGGTTTTTAAGTGCCAAATGGAGTTCATTAACTACCTTTTGTTAAGTTTTTATCTGATCACACCAAATGCTACTGCTGATAAATGCTAGAGTTCCACAAAATAACACTGGTTTATTTTTTTACATGCACTAATCATATGGTCATTGTGCTTATCTGAGGAGATAGTTTAGCTGATAATAGATCTCACCTACTGATTGTTCCATTTATTTCTATGATGTAAATATTTACTGTACTTGAACATAAATCATTTGACCAGTCATTCATTAATTTTTAAAATATTATCTTCAGAATAAGAATAGGTAATTCAATATTAAATATTAAACACTATTCTTTATCATGACTCGTAGAATGAATTGAGTCATGATTGAATATTAACCTATTTTTTATTAAATGCAATTTCTTTTCTAAGAAAATGACAGGCTAAAGATGAAATTAACCATGTTTGGAATTCATTGACAAAATAGTCTCAGTGTTGATTGAAATTTATAAAGCTTTATATTTGTAGCGACAGGTGGTTAGCACATATTAAAACAGTTTTCAGGAAATTAGATTTCTCAAGTCTACTAAATGTTATAGCTCTTTCTAATATTGATAGGAGTTTTCATCTGAACCTTTTTGTTTTTTGGTAGTGTGAAAAGTTAACAGATTATTATTTTTTCTTTTATTTCCACATACTACTCATCTTTGTTATTGCTGCTGTTGGAAGTGTTCAAATGATGTGGTTTTTGCTATTTGGTTAAGTTCCTTCTAATTTTATAGCATCAGTTTAATGAAGGATCATCTTTAAGATGTATAGGATTAATTCATTTGAAACCATTTTTAGCCATTTATCTGAAAAAACAATTATATACAGATATTAGTTTAGATATTTCTGGATGAGTTGTATTATGTACAAATGGAAGTTTAGTTTTGATAATGTTAGAACATGGTTCAAGTTTTCAGTTCACTTTTTGTTTTGTGTTATCTTACAGTGCTGGTTAAAAGTTCTCTATCAAATTTCTTATATCCTATACTAAATTTATAACCGATTCCTTCACTGAGGTATTTATATTAGAAAATAAAATGAATTTGAATTAAAATGCTTTAAATATTATTATTTTATTATGTACCAAACAAGTTTTGTAATGTTTTTTTTTTTTTTTTTTTTGCTAAATAATATATAATAATAATTTCAGTTAAAGCCTTTTTTAGTAAAATATATTCAAGAATTAACATGATAATCTGTTTCCTTGCAATCATAAATGAAGAGTTAAGAGAATAGTTTATGATTAAGTATATATTTTATATTAAATTTGGAATTCTTAGATAAGGTTTAGTAATACTTTATGTAAATACAACAATATAATCTGCTTTTTATTTGTCATTGTTTTTACTAAGTTTAATTTGGCCCATTTCAAATGATTACCTCAGATATCTTGAAGGCCTTTCACAAAGTATAACATAGGGAGTGATTGCACAAATTCTCCAGGTACAGTATCTCTGGAAGTCTTCTCAATTATTCTTCTTATCAGGTAGGTCTATAAAGGTTGTTGTTAATAACCAGTACTCTGAAGCAGATAAGATCAATACTGGCATTCCTTAAGGCTCCCTCCTCAGTCTTACCTTCTTTCTGCTTTATATTAATGATCTGCAAAAGTACATTATCAGATATTTAAAAAATATATACATAATGCCATGGTTTATGGGTGCACGTTCAAAAATCTATATGATCAGTGCCTGGCAGCTGATTTCACCCATCTCAATGTGGAAGACTAGCTTGTATCATCCAATACCTCCAAAACAAAGCTAATAATTTTTCATTAATACCTAGCAGACCCTAAATTTACTCCAGTCCTAATGAGCACTTGTACTATCAATGAGATTTCTTGCCTTGAATGTCTATTGAACTACAGCTCACTCTAGACCTCCAAGTAAAAATCATATATTAATACCATCACTAAAGAAACTGGAAAAAAGGCTATTCCAGAAAGCACTTACTGCCATGCTCTATCTTTACATGAGATCAGACTAAAAATAGAGTATTGAGCCCCAATCCTCATTGCTCAGTCTTGACAGAGTTCAAGAGCAATTATTGTGGCTTTGTGAGTAATAAATTATTTTCCACCCTGCCACCCCTTTCCCAGAGACAAAATGTTGCTAGCCTCTTGGTATTTTTATGGCAAATGTCCAGACAAACTACAGTCCCACCAATTCAGACCACAGTGAGAACTTGTCATGCTATGTACACAGCATCAACTCATCCTCATTCCTTTTGATAAGGAGGAACTTCCACTCAGACAGCTTCTTCCACCACTTTGTGGAACTCCTGAAAGGAAGCTTCCCCAACCACTGCACTCTTAAGCTCAAGTCTAGGGTCAGCCATTATCTATCCTACATATCCTCAAAATATGCCCCCTTTTCTTCTTCACTTTATGCACTTACAACAATCTACTTCAGTAGTCCTCTTGTTTGAATGGCTCTTGAGCCTCGTATTGGATAAACAATAATAAAAAAACAAAGAAAAAACAGTATTGAGCCCCTTGTTAGGATTTAATTTGCCCAGTAGTTATGATCAACCAGATTAGCTTGATAATAATTACCTCATGTCAAAATACCCTTGATTTATCTGCTGTTATTTAAACTTATAAATTTCTGTAATCATTGAGAAGTTTCAATTGTTTTTTTTTCCAGGTACTTGGGTCATTATTATCTGGTACAAAATATAGCCCACCACAAGTCCAACAACAGCGGCATTTGTCTCTCCATGAACATCTAAGTTTCAAGTTACTTCAAGAGGGTGGTGTTCGTGTACCAATATTTCGAGTTGCCACTACCAGTGAAGAAGCTTTCAAACATGCCAAAGAAATTGGTAAGCCATCCACCTAAATTATTGCTGTTAATTTCATTTATGAGTAGTACTCAAAAGATATCTTTGACCTACTTGTTTTAAAGTATTCTGATGTTCTGATCAGAATTCCAATCAGTGTCTATTAAGCATTGTTTTGAAGAAATTTTTTTGCGAATGATAAACCAGAAATTATGATATTCTAAACTGGGTTGTAACATATTCAAGAAGTAAAACAAGCTTTCTGATTTTCATTAATTTGATTTAACTTTCTTTTCATATTGAACAGTGGTTAAAAAAATGTTAATTCTTTAATGTTGACCAAACATAAAAATCAAGAGTGAAACAAGAAAGATAAAAATGATAAATTGCTGGAATGGAGCCTATTTTTTCCTCTACAGAAGTTATTGAATTTTAATTTAGTTGAAGAAAACATGTTGTACATTAATTTCTTAAAAATGTAATCACTATGTTAAGAAAAAAAATAGACATCTAACTGGAATAAGAGACAGACCCATTTGTGATGGGAGATAGAGAAGAGACAAAGATCTTTATCAGGCACTACAGCCAAAGAATTAGTGATTCTTGCACTGAGACCATTAACTTCTGTTGGATTTGAAATTTAGTCCAATTAAAAAGAAAACACTATTCAGTATGAAATACTAACAAAGGTTGCAGAAGCAACTGAAAATTTTCTGATTTCCAAAAACCTTTGTGCTCCCACAAGTCAACTAAATAAAAAAAATATACAAAGAAAAATATTTTTGTCATCCATGTGTACATTCCTTTGTTTTTAATTTTCTTCTCAGTTAAATTTGTATATCTAACAGTAACTTCATATGATCTGTCATAAGAGAAATCTAACCGAGATTCTTCAGCTTAGTGCTTTTAAGCAAACAATCCACACCAATAAACAAACTGGACAAACAAAAAGATGATGAAACTTTTATAATCAGTTCAAATATTCTTTATGATCTCTCTTTACATTTTTTATTTTATTTATTTTTTAACAGCTGAAAAAACTGGATCCCCTGATGTTGTTATTAAGGCCCAAGTACTTGCTGGTGGACGGGGACGTGGTGAGTTTGAGAGTGGTCTCAAAGGAGGTGTTAAACTTGTATACACGTAAGTCACTTTATTAGTTTCTTTGTACCTTTTTATTGATGGTTTCTTTGAAGGGTATGATCTTTATTCAATTTTGTCAACTTTTAATGGATTAAGAGAATCTCTTAAAAAAGACTAATATCCATATCATTTGATTTTTTTATATTTATAAAACAGTCTTCTCAAATAAGTGCCATTTCAGTCCCCTCCCCAACACACTTTGTAACCTGTTCCACATTTTTTCTACCTGTTATATTAACTTTCTTATCAATGAACTGAATGTACATAATGATTCTTTGCTATTCCACTCTTTCAACTGAAATTAACTTTGTTAGTTTAAACAAATTATGTTTAAACAATGGGTCCAAATTAAAGTTCCATAAAAATCATTTTAAAATATTGTAGGACACCTAAATTTTTTTATCTTTTAACAGTTGGTGGTTTAAGGAAAGATTACATTTGTAATAGATTATTTGAAATAAGATTTTAAATAGCTAAGTTACTGTTTACTGGATGAAGTCAGATATTACAAAATTATTACAATTTTTTTTTTTTTTCTAATTGGGAATGTTTTATTACAAATATTTAATGTGTTGCTTTCATAAAATGACCTTTCTTACTAGTAAATAATCTTCATTTCAAAATTAGATTATTTGAAATAATTCTCATACATTTTACATATTTATTGTAAAGTAACTGCTGTAAAACCCTTCATCTTTTGATTCAATCATATTGCAGTTACAAATATGTTATTCTCACTTATTTACATATATTGAAATTGGAAAACCTGTTGAATATTTGTTTAGAGACTTTGAGTCTGAATTTAATATTAAAATATTTATAAAATTTGTTATTGTCTTTAAAAGAATCACCTAATCTTTTTCTTTCACTTTTTGATCTTCATCATTTCTATGACTATTTTTTCAGTATTCCTTTCTAAAATCTAACAAAAATTTGTTTATCTTGTATTGTGTTGAGAAATCAATATAAACTTGAATTCAATGTAGCATTTGTTCTAAGAGACCTTCTGAACATTTTCAAAGTTATTTTGTTACACAGGTTTGAATTTTAAACAATTTTTAACTTTGTTTAGAGCTGAAGAAGCCCGTAAACTTGCTGCACAAATGATAGGATCTCGACTGATTACAAAACAGACTGGAGCTGCTGGTAGAATGTGTAATAGTGTTATGATCTGTGAAAGGCTCTACTCAAGGCGTGAATACTATTTTGCTATTGCTATGGAGAGGGCTTATTCAGTAAGTATCTTAATTCCTGTTAAAAGCCCAGCTAGAGGTTAACTAGGATTTGTATCTTGAAAAAAAAACATTGTTATTCTCAAAAAACTGTCAATGAAATATTCACTCACATAAAAAAGAATTATTTTTATAATCCAAAATATGTTTTGGCTTTAAATAAGTCACAAATGGTTGATAAGCTGTAAGAACAAATCAATCAATCCTGGTAAAGGGTTTCCTATTAAGTTTACAGTGTGCATACACAAGGTAAATCCTTAAGTTTAGCATTATTCTTTCCTAATATTTTTACTGTATTGGATATTGAATTATGTATTTAAAGTCATAAATCATAAAATTTTTAGAAACTGTCCTGTAAGCACAAATACTAGTTGAAATTTTTCAGCTACTTATTTTCCCATAACTCATTAGTATTGTTTGAGTTTATCACTGCTTGTTTATTCTTTTGCAAGGGTCCTGTTATGGTTAGTAGTATGCAAGGTGGTATGGCCATTGAAGATGTTGCTAAAGAGAATCCTGAAGCTATCCTGAAAGACCCTATTGATATTGACGTTGGGCTTACAAATGAACAGTGTATGAGTATGGCTCAAAAATTAGGAATGGTTGGAAAATCTGTTGATCAGGTAAATGGATCTTCTTACTCAGCTTTTACTCACTACATATTAAAATGATTTGAAAAATGTTTGATTATGAACATTAAACACTACATTGTTTTTGTATCATTTCACCTCAAACTACTAAAATGCAAGGTTTTAATGGGAGTGGAAGAGAATGAAAAAACTTTATTGTGTAGAAAAGAAAAAAGAACATGCTTTTGGAAGACAGAAGATGGCGATTGACATTGCATTTACATTTTTGAAGATTGTAGGTGACAGGGAAGCAAGAAACTGGAAGAATTCCAGAGGTGAGGAAAAAAAAAACTTGTAACTTAAGTTACATCGAGCTATTTCAGCAGTAAAACAATGAGATCTAGTAGCCAATCAAATAGTACACTGAAATTCACATAGTTGAGGTACCAAGGAGGAGAGCTCATTAGAGCAACGGCCATGAAAATATTTACAGAAAAGACAGAGGGAAGCCATGTCATAGTGATGGAAAGTGACTGAAATTGAGATACCAGGTCAAGACCAATAGCATTACAGATCCTTCTTTGGATTTTGTTGAGAATCTTGAGCACCAGACCAAATATGGCAACAATATTCAGTACACAGACAGATGGTTGTTATAAATGTGCAAGATGGATTTTGATGAAAAAAATTGTCTGGCATGACATAGTGAACCAATCTTCTTAGCAGCAAACATAGGAATTGATTCAAAATAATCACTTCTCTTCATTTCAGTAGAAAACCTAAGTCCAAGAAGGTGCAATGAGTTGCTTTCCTGGAGGTTAGCATCAGCCATGCTGACAGAGGGCAAAAATGGTTCCCTACAGTGATTAAAGGATAGCACTTTTGTTTTAGATGTGTTAAAATTTACAAGTCATTTCTCCCCCCCACTGATTGAAAGTCATTTTTGAGGGGAGTTACCAGTTTTACTTTGTCGGACCTATCAGACTTACTATTAAAACAATAGTAAATAGATGTGTCATCAGCATAAATACCTAGTTTGAAACTGATGACATTAAGAAGGTTGATGAAACTAAGAAACAATGCAAGTCCAATGACAGACTTCTGAGGGATCCCCGCATTAATATGAAATGATCTAGAAACATAGCTGTTCAACACAATCTTCATTACCCAATTTGTTAAGACCAACTGGATAGCCCTTGAACTTGTGGAGAAGGCCAGCATGCCAAATCCTGTCAGATGCCTTTGAAATATAGAAAGCTACAGCCCAAGCTTTGCCGTTCTTATCTAATGCTTGATAGACAAATTCACTGATGAAATTTAACACATGACTTAGAGAAGTAAAAGCCATATTGTTTATTTGAAAGATGTTGTGTGAAGAGGGATGCTTAACTAATTCAGAATTGATTAGAGCTTCTAGTACTTTGCCAAAGAAAGGTAAAAGACTAAAAGGACAATAATTTGAGGGATAAGAAGGTTCACCAGAGTTCTTAAAGACAGGTACTGCAAAAGAGGATTTCATTTATTTGTTTAAACACAGCCAGGAGACAAACTTATTTGTAACAAAACAACATGTATAAATGACAAATAAGATAACATTCAGATGAAAACATTTAAAATGTTTGCTACTTACTAATTTTATTTTTGTCACATTATTGTGAAGACCAAGTAATGAAAAAAAAAAATTTTACTTATCTCCCTTTATTTGTAATCCATTCTCAAAACTGGTTATTTGTTTCAGTATAATATTCATATTCTTTAGAAGCAGAGAATAACATTTCCTTGTTAAAATGTTTCTTGTATATATACATTCATTTTAAGAATAACTTTTTTTCTTCACATTTTATTTAAAGTACATTTTGAGAAGTTAGAATCTTACAGTTTAAACTTCAGTATTTGTTTTCCTTTTTTGAAAATAATTTTACATTTAAAATTGCAAATTTGAAGTCAAATAACTACTGTAAATCTATTGTTAAAGTGTAAAAAAATGAGACTTTAATTTAGTTTCTGATTTTTGCATGGTTCATAGTTTGACAACATTTAACTGTATAGGAAACACTTTAATAGCTATTGTGTTCACCATTATATGTTGTATAAATTTCATAAAGGCAAAACTGACAATAAGTATGTGTGCCATATATCTAGTAAGTGCATAAATACTAGTAATGACAAGTGCTTAGCAAGTTTTTTTGTTTTTTTTAAAGATGACTTATCTTTCTGAAAAGCCTCACTCTGGAAGATTAACCACTTTTGATAATTATCTTTTCAATTCACCTGTTGAAATAGAACCTCAACAAAGAAGAGATTTAGCAAAAAGGCACAATGCATTATGTTAAACTATACATGATTATCTGGATGGATGGACTGATTGAATAAAAAGAATGTCTATAAAATAGAGGGTGATCATGTCATATTGGGAACCTGCTGTATTTCTATCCTGAGAAAAAGGTCATTTTCATTTTTACTGATTCTTTCTACCATGTTAGAGCTATTTAAGTTACAAACTTTCACTCAACATTGCATGAATATGTATATATTTTTATTTTTTAACTTTTGTTCTTTTGGCAAATGATTCTTCAATAAATTTATCATTAGGTAATTTATAGTTTAGAATAATTGTCAAAAACTTGAAAATATTGTAAAATCTTAGAAAATAAAATTTTAATTTTTGTTTTTTAACTAAAACAATTTGTTGTTGCTACTAATTTATAAGATTAAAATAGCTTTCATATGAAGAAGTCTATTAACACTTAGAAGTGTTAGAATTTTTATCAAAGAAAGGCATTTTCATTTAGATAATGTATTTGATGGTAATATAGGCTATTTTTGCAAATAAAATGCATTTTTTTTGTTTTTGTAAATTTTAACAAATAATTTAATAAATATCTTCAATTTAAAAATTATTTTAAAAATACATGTTTACAAAATTCTTTTCATTTGTTCTTTTTAATAGGCAATTAATATCATGAAAAGTCTTTATGAGGTTTTTATTAAGTATGATGCCACAATGGTAGAAATCAACCCATTAGCAGAAGATGCCAGTGGAAAAAGTATGTATACTTTTTTCTACTTTATTTTTTCTTTTCAAATTATAGAATTTAATTTTACAAATATTTAAATAATCTCATAAACTGAAGTAATAAAAAGACTGCAGTATGTCTTAATTCTCTTCCCCTTTGTAGAAATGGACTTAATTGGATGACATGTATGACATAATAGGTGAAGAGGTAGTGTAGTTTAATGCCAAAATGATTGTTGAGTTGATAGCTGCTCTCGGTTTTTCTTGGCAATAATAGGGTGTGTGAAATTTGGACAGATATCAGTAGCACATGAAAACCACAGGTACTGTAAAAACAGCATAACTGACAAGGATAGTAATTACCCACTGAAAGGGAATATTGCATTAAATCACATCCAAATTTAATACTGGTGCTGCATAACCCATCAGTATACACTGTATTCCATAAGGTTTTATAGTCATTGATCAACAAGAATGTCATTATAGACACCAGTGACTTCATTTCATTTTGGACCAAAGTACATTGTCATTAGAACATGGGACACAGGGATCATGTTGTCATGTTATCAGGTGATTGTCTTTCTCTTCACCCGCACCTTCCATTTATAGGATCTTATAAACTCTGTTCTTAAACTGAATTCTTCTGTTTTTCACCTAAATGTTTAGATGTATATATTAGAATTTTTAAGACCTATTGTACATTTTTATATATATATATATATATATATATATATATATATATATATATATATATATGAGAGAGAGAGAGAGAGACACTATTGTTGATATTGTATCAAAAATATACAGTTTTTCAGATTTTATTATGCAAGTTGACGTTTTCAAAATAAAATTAGTATTCACCAACTGATGATGGTAAAATTTTCAGGATCTGCTTATATTCTTATGTACAATATATTATGCTAATTTCAGATTATATCTATCTGTATTTAAAAAATTGATAACCTGTTTGAGGGAGTAAAACAAAGTGCAAAACAAATCTTTATTTATAAATAAATCTTAAAGATTTGAGAAATAGGCATTTGATTAACACAGTATCCAATCTACATGAATAAATTTTTTAACATTTTATGTTAATATGAGCTCCTTGACATTCTATAACATTCACTAGTCTTTCACTATTGATTTTTTTTATTAACTTTTCTAATGTTTTAACTTTAACATTATTTGAAGCAATTTTTATTGCTTCCCAGAGATATTCTTTGCTTGAATACTGTTTTCTATTTTCATATTCCTCTCTCTTAATGATGGACCACAAGTTTTCTATTAGATCAATATCTGGAAAAGCAAGGAGCCTTTCCATTAGTTTGATGTCTTGGAAAACTTTTTAGTAAAGCTAGGCAATATTTTTAGCTTTTTTTACAAGAATATACTCTTTTACTTGTTTGTAACCCTGCATTACACAAAAACACCTTGCCCATGAACTTACAATGATTCTCTTCATTTATCTTGATACCATCAATTTTCAAGGAACTTGTAACATTACCACCTATCATATTAACCCAAAAGATTACTACCCCCCTACCACCACCTGTTGTCTTCTGAGTCATTTTGATTGACTATTTTCATGAAGGATCCAGCCTCAAACCTAGCCATCAGGCCTGATCAAGGTTGTGCTACATTCATCACTAAAAATCGGTTTGCATCTACTTCTTTCCCCAACTTATACATTTCACTTTGTGATGTTTACTTAAAGTTACTTTGGATGCTTTCATGTATTTAACCAATATTCTGCATCTTTTCTCTTTTACATTTTTAACACCAGCTTTTACAAATATTTTCTTGTTGATCAGCCTACTTTTCTTGCTTATTACCTTTTAATTCTTAGCAAATCTCTTTTTGTGACATTGTTTTTTTTCTTGTTCTTATCTTAATGTTTTCGATTTCGTTTTTGATAGGTCTATAATCTCTTCAACATTTTCATAATTTCCAGCATTTTGTTACCATCATACAATTTTGCAACATTTTATTTCTTTTTTTATGCTAATTGGCAGTTTTTATATATCTGAAATTAATAATAAATATCATTAACTGTACTATTATATATATATATATATTTATTTAAATATGATAAATAACTGTTAAGTTGCATAATCATCATCATCCTTCGACCTCCCTGTAGTTGGTGAGAACACCATTGACAATCCCTTTCCACACTGTTCAGTCCTGTATTGCTATCCCCAATGTCCAACCCTGAGTCCTGAGCTATGGTGTTTAAGAAAGTCAATTTTTGTGTGAAGACACTTGCATAATAAAGTCTCACACTACCAAAGAAATGTAAATATTTTCTGAAACTGAAATTTACATTGTATTAAAGAAATATGCTCTCAAAATTTTGACATCAATTGGGTAATACTAATTGTAAAAACCTTAGTGTTCATTATAAAATCTGGCGTTATGTGTAATATATTAGTTTAGAATTTGCTGTGTTTCTGAGGAAAGAGTGCTCGATATCAGTGTTTTTTTTTTTTTTTTCCTTCTTCACCCCAAGAATGTCTGGAATGCTACCAGTACACAGGGGGTTACAGAGTGAAGGTGAGAGAAAAGACTGGGTATAGATGGGGGGAATCGAGGTAAGGATAAATGCTGAACATAGTTCAAGAAGATGACGATTGACATTGCATTTAAATTTTTGAGGATTGTAGTTATCAGGGAAACAAAGAAACAGAAAGGAGTTCCACAGGCAGAAAGGGTGGTGCCTAGATGCCAATCTAGTAATATGCTTAAACTCACATAGTCCAGGCACCAGGAGAAAAAAGCTTGTCAGAGCAGTAGCCATAAAAAATATTGGTTGAAAAAACAGAGAGAAGCCACATCATATCAGTGAGAAAGTGACTGAAGTCAAAATGCCAAGTCAGGATCGATTATATTGCAGATCCTTCTTTGGATCTTGTTAAGAACCTCGACATGAATAGCAGATGCACCAGACCAGATATGGCAACAGTATTCTATGCACAGTTGAATGGTAGAATAGTGTTGACATAGACATCAACCCTGCATAGTGACTAACAATTTCATGTGTAAAGAAATTATCAGGCATAGTTTAATGAAAATATATTTATATGCATAATTTTTTTTCTTTTTTGCAGTATATTGCATGGATTGTAAGTTAAATTTTGATGCTAATGCTGCCCACCGCCAAAAAGAGATTTTTGCCCTTAAGGATTGGAGCCAAGAAGATCCTCGAGATGAACAAGCTGCTAAAGCAGATCTTAATTATATTGGTTTGGATGGCAGCATTGGATGTCTAGGTTTGTATCTCAATAAAAAAAAATCTTTAAGGAATAATTAGATCATGTATTATTTTTTTTTAAATTTCATGTTCCGACCTATCGTATTATGTTTTGTATTAATTATAGATGGTTTATGATAAAATACATATCAATGCAATTAATGTGTAAAGACATTAGATTGTGACAAGTCATTTTTGAAACATTTATGTAATTTACATAAGAAAAATCTCAGACAAATTCTGAAAAATTGGAAATTTTTAAAAAAAATTTAAAAATACGTAAGTATCTCATTTTACATTGTTCATTTATGTGGTATTTGAAATCAAAGAATTCTTTTCTTTTCAGAATATATTGTCTGAATCTGTAATATATCAAAAAATTAATCCCAAATATATATTACAAGTTGTTTTGTATTAAATAATTTTTGAAATGATAAATTGTTACAGCATTACTAGACAAGATTTATCACAATGGTTTTGTCATCTCCATAAATAGTAAAACAAAAAAATATGAACATTGTTTTTTTTCCCTCCTTGTTTTGAGTACAATTAATGAATACCATACATAAACTAACATATCATAAGATAGGAGTCTATAAAAGAAATGATTGATGGCACCACCATGTCTATATGGAAATACCCAGACTTGTATCAGTTGTGCTCTGACATCTGGTGAGTGGGAACATCAACTAAGCTGCTCATGACTAAACCACATGAATTATTGGAGTTCAGATAGAGCATGATAGTGGATGCCAGGTAGATGAGACATACCATTTCCAAAATTGTGGGGACATTTGACATCTATGATATCACATATTTACCAGGAATTACTGCCCATTGTAGACAGCATAGTGACTGACCAGGAGCACTTAATAATCATGACCAGAAGTGACTGACTAGAACTGTCAAACAACACTGGCCCAAATCACCTATATTCAATGCAGGACACACCAGTTTCATATTCAGCAGATTAGTTTAACATTCTTTAGCTTCAATGAAATATGGAAGACAAAAGACCATAAGGGTGCTCTTTTTTAATGTTACAACACTGGGCAAAAGTACCTCATCTGGAATTGTGTATATCACTAATTGCATCCTGCAGGACTGACAACATACAACATAGGTCAGTGAATCACAATTCCAGTTATTTTGAGTTGATGGTAGGGTTTTGGGTATGATGCCAACTCCATAAGGCCATTGAAACTCGGTTGTCAACAAGACGGTGTGCAGGCTAAGGCTGGTTCCATAATGGTGTTGGGTGTGTTCATGTGGTAAAGGCTGGGTTTGCTGGTTTGTCTAAATATGCCATTTAGGCTGGTGACTGCTATACTGCAGTACTTTGTGACCATTTGCACCTATACATGAATTCCATGTACCCCAACAGCAACTTATTCCAGCAGAATAAAGCACCATGTCATTGGACCAAAGTTACCCAGTCTTGATTCAAGATTCATTGATTTTAGAGATTTGCAAAGAATGATATGGCTGACATGTTTGCTTGACATGATCCCATTTATGGGACGTGGTTGGGAGGCCTATTTACGTGCAAGATTAAGTCTTTCAGAATACAAGGTACTAAATTACTTTTTATTGAATTAGGGAATTATTTGATAAACAGTTTTCTTAATACATGTTATTAATAATTTACAAATTAAAAAATTTGTCAGTGTACTATATATATATATATATATATATATATATATATATAAGTTTAACCTTTTTGATTAAATAGAACCAATAAGACATGGCTGTTTAATTTTTTATTGTATTTTTCTAATTTTTGAAAAGGGCATTGTGTATTGGGATCAAAATTGTGGATCTCAATGCACAAAACCTTTTTCAAAAATTGGAACAAAAAATACAATAAAACATTGCTGCTTAAACATACCTTTTTATTTTATTTATATATATATATATATATATATATATATATACACACACACACACTGGGTAATCCATTAAGTTCATTTAGTTTATTAAATATATTTATTTTATTGAGCAACATATCAATTTTTTTCCCCACTATCTTCTGCCATTTTTCAGACAGACTTCATAATTACATTCACTTTTTTATCTTTCTCAACAAAAGCTCCTTTATGTGCTTTTTAACAATCTTCCTGGGAGTTTAAATGTTTAAAGTCTAGAATAAATGGTGAATATGGCAAATGAGTGAAAACTTTCAAGTCAATCTGGAGCAATTTTTGCTTGGTTATCAAACAAATTTGCAGATTTCCTGTCAGAAAATTTATATCCTTTCTCTGAACTATTTATGAATGCTTTTCATTAATTACCGCATTCACTTGGTCTAATTCAGAACAGTACTTGATCAACTCTATAGTTTGGTTCTCTGGAAGTAGCTCATAATCGTTGAACACCATTTTATCCTACTCTATATGCAGCATCACCTTCAGTTAAAAGACCAGCATTTAGTATAGTCAGTGGTAGTTTATTTAATTTATCCCATAATCTCTTACGTAAATGTAAAGTATCCATTTTTCATCACCATCACATTTTTCAAAAAATGTCCATTCCATTTATGTCATTTCTATATGGAACCCACTTATCAAAGTGACTAACATAACTAAGCTAGTGGAAATTATTTTAATCATTTCAAGTATGTTGGCAATGTGCTTTATCACATAATGTTGATTATTATCAAGTAATACCATGGATTTGATTGTTGCTATTATTAAGTTATGCAATTATTAAGTCCAACTGTAGAGTATAATTCAACAACAAACTTCACAGACCATTTGGGATACATGTGTGTCAACTACACAACCTTCTCTATAAAATGTACAAATTGTATTTTTACCTTTCTTAAAATAAGAATAATATGTGAAGAATGCTGCTTATTTTCTTCTATTTTCAGTAATAGAATCAATAAACAGAAATATTTCAATCTTGACATAATTTTTAAAAATGCATACTTACAGCTCTTACAATATATAGGCAATCTTCCTAAATGTTTCCAATACCATCTAATGACCAAAAACCAACCAAACCTTTTGGTTCTTAAATATTAATGTTATTTTGTTTTAATATGTTAAATGAATTCTCTCTTAAATGTGATACAAAAACAATTTCAGTTTTCTGATTTTTAAGCTTATTTTACTTGTTTATTCATTCTTAGAAAATAGAATGACAAGAATATATTGCATTCATTTTATTAACTGTTCAGATGTTTTCTTTTTACTATCTTATTACAAGTGATTAATTTTGACTTTGATTTTATTTCAGTCAATGGTGCTGGCTTAGCCATGGCTACAATGGATATTATTAAACTTCATGGTGGTAGCCCTGCTAACTTCCTGGATGTTGGTGGAGGAGCTACAGCTAAGCAAGTCACAGAAGCTTTTAGACTCATCACTTCGGATAAAAATGTAAATTTTTTAAAAGATTTTGCTCTGTAAACATTTATTAATGTTTCCTCTTTTGAAAGCTTTTCTTTATCATTATCTTACTCAAAGTTGTTTTTATTTCCCTAAATGTTTAAAAATTTTTAAAATTATGTAAATGATTAGTGCTTTCCATCCTTCAGTATTTGCTTTTGTTTTCAATTTTATTATTTAGCTAGCATAATAATAATAATATTGTTGGATGTCTTTCATGGCTATAGCTGAACAATCGAGTCTTTTTCAAGGTAAACTTCAGATCATACTAAATTCTTGTATTGTTACTTATCTAAGCAATTTTTTCCTTTTTATCAATTTGCCAAGAAAACTAAGAAGCAAAATTTATTTAATTTTAATTTTGTGTTTTTAATGTTTTAAATTCTTCTGTTTTAAAATATAGAAGCATGGTATCATTTAAATTTATGTAAACTGAATTTTAAATAAAGTATAATTGTTACACTAATTTTTTAAGTTGCAATTTTTTTGTACAAGTTTTTAAAATGTATAACAAATTTTGACATGAGATTTTAAACATGCTGCTACTGAAATTTATTTTGATAGGTTCAAGCCATTCTTGTAAATATTTTTGGTGGTATCATGAGATGTGATGTAATTGCTCAGGGAATTATTGCAGCTGCTGCAGAGCTTCAATTACGTATTCCTATTGTCGTTCGTCTACAAGGTGAATAATCTGATGAGTGCTTTACTTTTGATGCATTTACACCTCAATAAAACGCTACTTTGCTTATTTAAGAGAATGTTTTTCTTGAAATTATTGAACTGAAATTAACTTTTTTTTTTTTTTTTTTTTTTTTTTAACATTTGATGAAACATTAAAATATTATACCTTGTATCTATATGCAAAATCAGTCAAATATCCACCAACTCCAGTTAAAACTTCTTTTAAATTACTATGGATGACAGTGTAATTTAATACCACTTATTATATAATGTTTTATTCTAATAATACATTTAATTGTGATAATTTAATAATTTTTAAAAATTATATTTGAATATTTATAGAAGAGGTGATTAGTTGGTTATATAGTCAGGATGTTTAGAGTTTAGTGTAAACATTTTAAAATGTCAACTTTTTTGTATATTTGTATACTGTATATTCTCATATATAATCTGGTTTTATGCATAGTGAATTTTTTTTTTTTTGTATGAATTTTAATCTCTCCAGAAAAATTTATATGTGTATAGTGCAACTGATCACTGAAAATGCATGATTTTTTTAACCTCTGCAAAAAAATTACATGCATATAGTGTGACCCCCTATTTTTTTTTTCTATAAAAAAAAAAAAAAAAAATGAAAATCTCACACTACTGAAATATATACGGTATTTAATTTTCTGAATTGCTGATTTCCATCTTGTCAAATTTATTTATTTTTTATTTATTTATTTTTTTAAGGAACAAGAGTTGAAGATGCTAAGGCTTTAATAGCTTCAAGCAACCTTAAAATTTTATCTTGTGATAATTTGGATGAAGCAGCAAAGATGGTTTGTTTTTTACTTTTTTTTTCTCACATTACCAATATTGCTATATAATCATTATTATTGTTATAATAATACAGTTTAGCTAAAATAAAAATTGAATTTGATCAATAGATAATTGCTTCATTAAAAAGTATTAAATGCAAGTAAAGTGTAAACATACATGTTCAATATTTGTGACAGAAATTTAACTTGTGTGTTAGTCTATTCATAACATTTTAAGACCAGTTTAATTTCATTCAATTATGATTTTAAAAAAAGTAAAAAGAATACTACTTAATACAAAGGTGGTGCTGAAAAAATAAATTCTATTATTTGGTCAGATTTTAAGAAGTAGGAAAGTTCAAAAGTTTTTCAGCCTCACTTTTTAATATTTCCTAATGTGAATTATTTTGATTAAAATAATGCCACTTATATAATTCAAATGAAATATAGTTTTAGTTATGATTTAAATGCTTCAGATTCAATATAAAGTTACTTAAATATATCTAAAATTAATTTTATTATATATGTGTAATATTAATTTTTTTTTTTTTTTTTTTCTTTCAGATTGTGAAGTTGTCTACAATTGTTGGTCTTGCTCGAGAAGCCTTGGTGGATGTGAAATTTGAGTTACCTTTGTGAGACCCATGAGACCCATTCAAATTAGTTATTTCAACTGCCTCCCTCATTTTGGAGGTGGGAGCAGTGTGCTTTGTAGAGATCAGTACTTACTGCAAATACATGGAGACTGCTAATAGGTAATGCTAGGCTCTCCTGAAAACCTTTTCAGCCTCAATTTGCTGTTCTGGACCATACAGCTTTCTTTTTCTTTTTTTTTTCTCTCTCCCCATCTGCAGAAATAAGAAAAATCTGTGGCTATTGACTAATCCTGAAATATTTGATATTTTGCTTTTAGCCACATCAAACATCCCACATAAGCTAATTCTCATTGAGTAGTCCCAACTTGTGATACAGGAAAATGTCTATCAGGTCCAGTTTTTTTTATTTTTATTTTTTTTATTGTCCTCACTAACATTGCTGGTATTTATTTCTTAATGATCATCACAATGGTGCTCTTACATAAATTCCAGTCACTATTTTTAACAGTTCTAATACTGTTATTGCCTAGCTACTCTCATGTCTACCTTCAGGATGGGATAATTCTCTCTCCTCTGCTCCCCTCCATAAGTCTCCTACTTTTATTCTCTCATGTCAAAACTTGAACAAAAACCAAAAAAACACTGTTCTATTAAAATTTGATAATATTGTTTTGTTTTTCTTGTTATTCTATTTGAAAAAAGAAAACAAAGTGCATAGTAATACTCATTCTGTAACAACTTGATTTTATTTTCCTCGACAAGTATGCAGTATTTTTGTTGTGTTGCTCTACACTAAAACAGGGTTGTTAAAAATTAAGTGTTCAAAAAATTTTTTTTTTTTTTTTTTTTTTTTTTTTTTCAAGTGTCATTTGTTTTGTGGACATTGTTTGTTTTTTTTTTTTTTTTTTTTTTTACTCTCTCCCTCTTGGTCATTCAGTCAGTTAAGTGCCATACGTAATACACACTTGGGCGATCATTTCTTTTTCAATTCATGACAGACTAGGCAGAAGATTTTTTTTTTTTTTTTTTTTTAAAATCCATAAATTGTTTTGAATTACTTTGTCCTGCTATTTAATCCAAAGCTGGAGGGAGAAGAGATGGACTCATACCTTTCCCAAGAGTATTTTCGCGTAAGTGAATGTGACAAATTCTACTGGAATTTGAACTCTGCTCTCTGGTTTCTCATTCTGAGCTACTATCTATTACACCACAACAGACATTCAGTACTTACTTGATTTATAAAATTCTTTTAGTCTGATTATTTACAATAGAATAATAAAAATATATATTTGCATGCTGTTTTACCTATATTTATATTAATCTCTATATTTTTTATTGTGATACAAGCACTTGTCATACATATAAATTTGATACAAGGGTGTATTTCATAATGGTTAGATACCTTCCACTCACTGTTTAAAATGATATCCATATTCTTTAAGGATTGACAACCTGTATGCTTATTAGAATAAAGATTTTCATAGCTTTGCCTTCACTATATTCTCCAAAGTTTGATTGTGGTACACTAATTAAACAAATTTATAGGAATGACCTGTAATAAAACACAACATAAATTAAATTTAAAGAGACAGAAATTATGACTGTTATATATATTTTCATATTTTTGTTAATATCCATCTTCAAATAATCACAAAGTTATTGCACTAAATCAAATCGAAATGAAATAGTTGTTTCTCCTGGAATTTCACTATTTTTACCATCATGTACTTCTGCAAAATTTTTTTATTTTGCAACATCCACAATAATATTAGTGACAGTGCAAAAATTCAAAGCCATCTCTTCCCTATTATGGAAGTTATAGGGTGCAGATATGCAGTTGAAATATGTACAATAAATTTTATGACACTAGATTGGCAGTTCATCATGTTCAACTTACAACAGTATATTGAATAAAAGCATCATTTTTGATGTCTGTCTATATTTCTGAGATGAGGTATTATGTACACTATTTACATTATTCAGACTATTGTCTTCATCTTTGTCCCCATATTTATCACAACGTTTCAGCTATTGTATGCTCAGGCCTTCTTCAGGTGGTTGGAATCTTGAACTGAACCCTTTATTTTGATCACTAGGGTAGACTATTTTAGTTCCACGTGTTATGGATGTCAGTTATCACTTATCTCCTGTTAATTCCCTACTCAAATTTCTCCACCGCCTTAACCAGGTATTGAACTCACACTCTTTGGGTCCTGTCACTGGATCTATCTAACGCCTTTATCTACTGTGCCATGTGTCCTGAGGACATCTGTGTATGAAGGCCAGAGCATACAACGGTTGAAACATGATAAATATGGCGACAAAGATGAGGACAATAGTCCGAATAATGTAAATAAAGCATCATTTTTGTTTAAAACTGCCATCCCAGAAAAGATAGGCTGAAAAACTCTATTTTGTTGATGCTATCCTAAATTTTAGTGTATTTTCATTAAACAATTTTCATATTATAATCCCAAATGATATTGCGTATTATGATGAAGTAATAAATGCATTCTTTATTTAGAATTAGGCAGTAATGATTCAAGATGAAAGTAATACATTTTCTCATGCCATTAATGTAGCTAAGTTATGTATTTGAAATGTTTTTAGACATATGCACAATCAGTTTTCAAGTGATATCATCTCACTATTATTATTATTGTTATTATGATGATGATTCTCAATTGCATAGATGCTTTCCTTGGTCAACCAGTTTCATTTTTTTTCATTTCTGTCCAGAAAGTATCAATAATGAAGTATCAGTTTTAATAGTTTTGTTGCAAAAATAAATTCTTTTAAAATTTAAAATTGCTTTTTCACTTGTAATTTTAGCATGAAATCAGGGAAAAATATTATCATTTATTGTGCTTATAGTACAGGATGGTGTTAAAAAGGTAAGGATCTAGAGCCATGAAAAACAAATGTTATTACATGTATTCATCCTGAAGTTTGTTCAACACACTTGGCACTGTTTCTCAAGTTTGCTTTTTTTTTTTTTTTTTTTTTTTTTTTTTATAACACTTTCAAAAAGGAAAAAGTATTCTATTTGATTATTGAAATACTGTTCTGCTGCAGTTATTAATTTCAAATCATTCAAAAATGTCCCTTTAAGATTTGGAAAACAGTATGTCAGAAAGCGCAATAGCTGATGAAAATCTCAAATTCTTCAAAATAGATGGTTTTGGTCTCTGGATGTTTCATTACTAGATTACTGCAAAATCAACACAGGTATCAATTTGATATTGTTTTTGGTTGGCATTCAGACATTTTGGTAACTGGCTGACAGCTTCTCCAATTCCCAACTGCTTGTGAATTACAAGTCCTGGGCATTTCTAGTATCTCAGCAATTCTTCATTGATCAGCCAAATTCAGATCATGAACAGGATCACCAATTTCAGGAGTTGACACCATTGGAGGCCTCCTAGGTGAAGCTGCAACTTGAGTCTCAAAATCTTCATTGACACATTGCTTATTTACAATTGATTTTGATGAGGACTTGTCATCCAGTGCTAGCATCATACACTCATGGATTTTCTTTATAATTTACTTTTATAATAATTTCATGTCAAGCTTTAGTTCAAAATCAGTTAATGCAGATCAGTCAATTATTTGAAAAAAATCAAAAAATAAACCCAAGGATCCTATAATTGGCACTTGACAATATAAAAGAAAGCTTTTTCCAGCTTGTAACAGAATAATTCAAATTTTAGTGAGTGGGTCAGACCAAGAAGTTTTACCATATTGTTGTTTTGCACCTGTTTTTATGGAGACAAAAGAGACTGCTGTTTAAATTTTAATTTATAGAATGTTGTTAAAATGATTTATTATTCTTACAATGTTATTAATTATCAGTACAGTTAGACTACAACCATGATCAGCAAATGAAAATATTTATATTAATGACCAACAAGAAATTAATGATTTAGAATTTTAATTTCAAAATCATTTTGATGGTTCTTCATGTTAAGACATGTCATATACTAGAATTCACATGTATCATTTTGTATAGCCTATACGGATCCTGTTAATAACTACTTCTTTTCTTGCATATTCATTGTTCAGTTGATGCTATTCTTCAGTGGTGGATTAGATATAGTGTAGCTTATTATTTAGACAAGAGTTCCATAACTCTTGCCACATTTTTTAACATATTTTCTTTAGGATATTTTTATATTTGTAATTTGCATTTGTATCCAGTTCTTCATATCTATTATTTTAAGTTGGGTTTAGATTTTTTTTTTCTGTCATAATTGTTCTTATTTGAAAAAGGTGTTCTGGTTTATGTTTGTGGATTGTGTAGGATCACTTATTCATTTGTTGGGATTGATTTGCACATATAGCAAATTGTTTTTATGTAGAATAGTGATTTCTGATTGAGAGTGTGTTGTAGGAATATTTTGTTTTCTTGATGGTTGGTGACTTTGGTTCAGACCTTTCAAGTATTGTTCATTTACATAATTTAGGATTTATTCTGCTTTAAGGCCAAACTGCTTAACAGTTTATCACACCTATTACATTTTTAGCTGGTTATCTTGGATCTTTTTTTTTTGTATTTGCATGCATGGATTTGTTAATGTTATTTTTTACCATTTTAATTCTCTGGAAATGGTGTGTTTTTTTATCTACTTTATCCTTTTTTCTCTTTTACCATTTTCCAAGTTTCACATCCTCTTCAGCTGAATGGGTTTCATTGATATTTACTTTTAACTATGTTACTCTCTCTTCTCTCTCCACATTTCCTGTTGTTGATTCTTTTGTGCATTTATCTTAAGTGTCCATACATTGGACAGTCATATTAGATTTCAAATATAGGTTTTAACTTAGGTAGCCAATTTTATGTTCAGGTGGAATTCTTGGTATGTCAAAAGTAAATATGTGTGAATTGGTATTGTTTGATCTCTTTTGTTATAATCTTTTTTACATGAGAGACACCCTGTTTCTTAAGAATTTTACTTCAGCCATGGTTCATAGTGAGAATCCAGGGTTTCTAACTACTCCCTTGGACAAATTTAGGCATTCATGTAAGTAAGTTTTTATTTTTATATCAAATGTTTCATTTTTAAAGTTTACAGCATAAGTTTTCTCTGCTACTTCTACAAGTATAGTTTTATTTTTTGCTTTATTAATTGTCTTTGGCAAAATCTGCAGTGGTAACACCTGTTTCACAAAGGTTGATAGTTTAGTTAGTGGAATCTCTTCAAGCAACTTGTGTACAATAAAGCTGAGGAAGCCATTTGCTTTTCCTGAGTCACTAAGTCAATATGTGCATGTAATCTCAGATGTTTTTTTCATCAGCTGTGCACCTCACCCACCACAGAACCCAACAGAGGGAGATACCAAGAGAGAAACCTATTCATCTTGGTGTAAAAGAGTTGCACATTTTATATATACATGCCAAAATAATCCAAGCATTTGCAGTCTGTAATGCTACCAGTCACCCCATGTAAGGTGATAAAGCCACTAAGAAGCAAGGGGTGATGAATGAAAGAGTTTGAGGAAAAAAAAAAAAAACAATATTAAGGAGAGAGGACAATAAAAGAATAGAATTCAAGGAGACAGATGGCAACATTGCATTTACATTTTTGAAGGTCAAAGTTGACTGGAAAGCAAAAAGCTGAAAGAGACTTCCACAAATAACCAGACTAAAGCGAGAAGTGCAAGAGAAGAAACTGTTAGCATAGATCTTATGGTTATATCTAGCAATTTCAACTGTAAAATGATGAGGCCAATTTAAAACTGCATTTAAATTTGTAAAGTCAAGCTATCAAAGCTCATCAGAACAATTACCATGAAAATATAGAAATATTTAGGGGTAGATACAGTGATACCAAAATCCTTTGGCTCTCCATATGATTGATTTTATGGCTATCAACTAATTCTGAGTTTGGAAAATTCAGTGATATTTTTATCTTCTAGTATAATAGTATATAATGTGGAAGGAAAGGTTTTTGAGAAACATCTGAATTAGGACTTGATGTTACCAGTTGATTAATCAGATTGAACATTTCCAACTGCATGTCTAGCCCAGTTGTCTGGCCAGAGTGAAGTGTTTTAGTCCGCATGACCACTTATGCTCCAAAGCCATGGAATTCTCAGCTACCAGATTCTCATCCTCAGGCATTGATATTCATAGCAAATAGGTGACCCCTTTTTGGAGATGGACTCCTACTAGTCTGCATGGGGATGCAGTCAGCATATTCTTGGCCCCAACTGACAGTGTAAGTGAAGGTATAGAAATTAACATTGCATTATGACTGGCAGTTTCACACCTTAATTGACCATCAGATTACTGTTTGCATCAACATACATTCTATCCCTGATATTGAGCAATCTTCCTGCAAAGACAGAATTTTAAATTGTGTGTGTGTGTGTGAGAGGCTACTATGCATTCAGTTATGAGGGTTCTCATCTGCAGCTACAAACTTTTTCTTCTATGTGCTCTGTCCCTTCAGGATGTAGCCAGTCATGGCTCTGTACAACTTCCTATCCTTTGCAGCTTTGAGCAATGTTTTTCTTTTTACTATTCTTTGCTTTTCGTGTTCTATCCATTTAAACAAACTTGTTAGGTAGGTTACTCAGTTTCCCTCTGTCCCTTTTGCCTTCTATATGACCTGGGAGTGTCAAATTTCCTAACCCTTCTTTCCTCATTATGTATCCTAGTAATTTCAAGTATTTTTTCTGATTCTAATTATAAGTACCTCTTTTGGTTCCATTTTCCTTAAAACTTCCTCATTGCTTGCATACTCTGTACATTTGGTATTTTCAGCATCCTTCTGTATAACCATATCTCTGCTGCTTCAAGTCTCTTCATTTGTGAGGAAATTGTCCAACATTCACTTCCATAAAGGAAGATTGATTTTACATAACAGTGCAGCACTCTTTTCTTTGTTTCTAATGATATTTGCCTGTTTCTTAATATTTTGCTTAGCTTTTGCAATTCCAATTCCCCTTCAGATTTCTGTGTCACATTTTCTGCCTTCAGTTAAAATGCTTTCACAGATATTTGAACTTTTGTACTTGTTTGATTTTGACATTTCAATTTGAACCCCTATCTTGAGCTGTTTCTCTTTCTGACGACCATACAATTGATGGTTATTCCATTCTTCTCACTTTCTTTTTCTTCCTTGTCTAGGAGTTCATGCAGCTTCCTTTCTGTGTCTGCCATCAATACAGTGTCATCTGCATATCTTATGCTGTTAAGATTGTGCCCACTAATAATAAATCCTGGTAGGACTTCTATTTCTCTTAGGAATGATTGCCTCACTGTAAAGCAATGTTTCTCAACCTTTTTATCCTTGTGGAAACTTTGAAATAGTTTTCATGTCTCAGGGGAACACCTGCATAAAACTTATTATATACTCTAATTAATATCTACCTCTTACATATTTTTATCGTAGTTCACATGGGAAGCATAATATATGGACACTGTGCATGCGTCCTGTACTTGAGTGAGTCAATGAATGATGCATGAATCCACCTTGTACAGGTTCTGTCCATTAAGACTGTTTCATACTGATGCCATTTTTTTTTATCCTGTAGGGTTGTAGAGGCACCATGTGTACTGCAGCTGCAGTAGAAGTGGTGTTTCTTGGGCAAGATGGCTTGTTTTGAATTCAGTTTTTCCTTCTCCTAGACTGGTTGCCACCCAAGGCTGTAGAACACAGTCTGTCCTGCTCTTTACCCATAGCTGGGAGAGAGAAGAGGATTTGTAGCTTTCCCAAGGGTATTAGCACATAAGCGAATGTCATGGATCTGACTGGAATTTGAACTCAGCTCTCTGATTCTTCAATCCAAGCCACTATCAATTACTCCACTGTGCCATATATACACTGCAAAATACATTCCCTATATTTATCATAATTTTAAATAATATACAAAGTTGTAGCCTTTATAACCAAATAATACCATGTATAGTAAAATACGAACATAAAATTTAACAAAAATTATTCAAAAACGCATTAGCCTATTTATCCCTGTTTCTAGCAGAACCCCTTGTGACCTCTTGCAGAACCCTAGAGTTCTTGGTAACACTGGTTGAGAAACACTGCTGGAAAGGTTGAATAAATCCAGTCAGAAGACACATCATAGTCTTATACCCATTTCTATTTTATATACTCTATTCATTTTCTGTCAATATGCAGCCAGTTTGTTTCCAATAACTCTTAAAACAATAACATAAAAAGTTTTAAAAAGTTCTCTTACATTTCCGACAAGGAGATTTACTTTTGATATTTTGTTTATCCTGTGTTGTTGTGATTGGTATTATGTACCTTTCCATGCTTGGTGAAACCCAACTCGTTCCTTATTACATTGCTTATGACACATTACTTGAAAATTTCCATTTTGAACTGTATGTATCAACTGTGTGAGGAAGACTGTATGAAGCTAATTCTCACCACATTGTAGTTACAATCAATAGCTTGTGAGAACAAATATGCTCTAATAGTTTTTATATTTTTGAAGCACCTACTTGAACTTGTAACCATGTTTTTTTTTTTTTTTTGGTTTTTTCCCTTATGACAGGTGACTTGATTTTTTTTTTTTTTTTTTTGTAGGGTACTTTCTGTACTTATTTGATTCAACTAATTTTTATTTTTTATGATTGTTTAATATCCACAAGAGAATTTTTATTTAAATTTAACCACCAATTTATGCTATTTTTCTTTTTTTTTTTTTTTAATCTCATGTTCCTTCAGAATGTAGGCAGTCATGGCTCTCCACAGATTCTTTTACTTTATTATCTGTGAATTGCTATGACTTCTTAGGAAAGATAGTGGAGTGATTCTTTGTTGCATTCTCCATGGTTTTTCAATTCAGAATGTTGTTCTAGACTGGCTAAAATTATTTACTAGGTATGACCCATGAGCTCACTGCATCAAAATGTTTGTGGTTGGTAAAAATATTTAAATCCTAATTTTAATGCTAGGTTACATAGGAATGTTTGTCTAGTGGCTTTCAACTATTGGAAGTTTATCATGTGATTCTTAGTTTAAGCAAGCTTGACCAACCCAAATAAAGCCATAAAATAAAAAAACTGTTTTGTATTGTTTCTGGTCAGATCATCATCAACTAAACTGATTCCCTAACCAAACTTTTCGGGCAAGAAAGGTGGCTAGACATCCAGTAGGATTAAAAACAAGATCAAAAGGGTGAATAAACTTTCTTGTAAGGGGGTCAACAGCCATCTAGTACAGTCGGGTTGACTAGGCACCATAGCTATGTATACAGCTACAGTGATGACATATGACCAAAATGAGTCTTGAAGATGAAAGACATCAACTGGAGAAGGATGGACTCTGCCACATTTACTACATTTTCTGTTTTTGTGCACTCACTTGATTCATTTTTCTGTCCATATGCAGGCATTTTACTTCTAAAGGCTCTTAAAAAGAACAAAAAAGAGACTAAGAAGTTCTTACACTGCCGAGTTGAAAGCTATAGGTATTTATTAATGTTATGCATGAATAAATTTCTCACCAGCTTTCAACTCGGATATGTAGGAGGGACTGTTAAGGTGTTCACTTGCATAGCAATCTTATGACCACACCCAGTTTATGGGACTGATAATCATTGTTCTGATAAAAAACGTGAAATATTAAGAATTTTGGAGAAAGCTTTAATTGATAGACATTGAATTAGTTTGCTTTGTCAAAAAACATCTTTTATTCCATGATTACCATGACACTCCTTATACCTTGGATATTTGAACACTTATACAATCTTTGTTCATTTTTCTTTGTTATGAGAAAATATATTTCCATAAAATTTATT